CATAGGCAATGGAATTGGAACACAGACGTGCAGCAGGCGTCTGCACACACAGCAATCAATCTATCATGCATGAACCAGCCAATTAGCTGCAGGATTTTATATTTCGTTGCAAATGTGTGGAAATGAATTCTCATGAATCAAAAAATGTTCTCTTGCAATCACCGATTGTCATATGCCAAAATCAATAAAGTGTGAATTAAGGGATTTTTTTGTGTGGTCAATAAATTATGCCTCTCCACTGCCTAAGGTTATAATGGGTACAGTATCATAATAATTTTGTTGAAGATACACAATTAAACAGGCAACCAATGCTGTCACATCAGCATCAAATTCATTAATGGATTAAATACTTTAAAATGCGCCTTTTTTGCAGTCTGGGCCACCTGTGAGCACGACTTTACCGGTTCATGATTTCGGTAGAAACAAGTCTATGTTCAGTTTAATTAAATTTATATAATTAAATGATGAGTGCTCCTGTGGTGTATAACATATGTGCATTTGACCATTACAGTTTAACATAATGCTCTGTAGCTGGGGACAGTGAACCCTTATGGGGACAGTGAACCCTCCTATAGAACTTGACCCCTGACTCAGAGCTGGACAGAGGCACAGTGAACCCTTATGGGGAAGTAATGATTGATGGGTGTGCAAAGAGTGAACCCTCCTATGAAATTTGACCTCTGACCCAGTGGTAGGGGGAGTAGAGGTTAGTGTGTATGAAGGGACTGTGCCCTTATATGGTATTTAGCAGATACCTAAACATGTCCTATATAAGCTGTGTTCGATGTACAGAGAGACAGAGTGGCCATCGGGCTGGGTCACTCTCCAAGCTGCTGCAGAGCTTGTAATTGATGCTGAATTCTTTGATGTAATAAACTTTTATGATCAAGAACAGTGTCAAGCGGATTTCTTCTCAACACATCATCGCAGCATTATCGTTCGGACACCACACTCCTGACAGTAGGGGGGAAGGTTCAAACTATTAATGCAAGAAAAGGAGGAGCCTATTCTGTTGACTTGCATTCAGGAGCAGGTCACTTATTGTAAATAATGAATGCTCATTGCCAATAGTTTGCAACTTGTTAAGTAAAAAGGTCATTTCATTTTATTTTATTTGAACGTGTTTTGGTCTGCTGTACCTTTTATTGTACAGGAATTTATTTTTATAATGTACAGAAGATTAAAGTTTTCTAGTTGTCTGTATGTGTCTGTTTTAAAATAATTATTTTACTGATATTTATTATGCTATAAGGGCATTTAGCAAGGTATTTTTAATGCATTAATAATGAATTATTGTCATACTGAATGGTTTCATAAAGCAGCTTCGTAGTATTAATAGTGGCTCTTGGAGTAAACTAGTAATAAATTACTAATAAGCTGAAATGCTAATAATAATGTTTAAAAGCTATTTAAACTGTTGTTCAAGTATAGCACAAAAGGGTATTTTAAGTTAAATTTAAAGCAGTGTATTTAAACAAGAGTAAATATATTTAAATTTGGTCCATTTTAACACAACTACGTATATTAAAATATATTGCAGTTATCTTAAAGTTGAGTTTAAGGATTTCTAAAAGAACACTTAACATACTTTAAGTTGTTCCAAAGTAACACATTTAATATACACTCAGTATAATACACTTAAAATGTGATAAGCGCATCAAGAAAAAGTACAACTTAAGTATGTTTCTTTTTCACCTGGGTTGGCATAGTAGCATGCTAAAATGTGATAATTCGCACTAAACTGAAAGTACAGCTGAGACTGATGGGAATGTCATTAATTTTGCAGGTATTTTGTCTTAAAACAAACATTGATATATTTGTAATAAGTAAAGCAATAAGTAACGTTTGAACATTTTAACATGATGATGGCGCTACATGAAAAGTCTGTCAAGTAGTTGGTGAGACATTTCACTAAAAAACATCAATGTCAACCTCATGGTGGCGCTGGAGGAAAAGTCAGGAGATCACCAAAGTCAGCATAGCTGGATTCTTGTGGTCTTGTCACATGATCAAATAGAAATTTAAGATTGGGAAACAACATAATTTGACTATTTGGGATTCGTGTAATTTTTAATAAAACAGCTAAAAGTGAAAATCCTTTCAGATGGAGGACGCTGGAAAAAAAATCTTATCAAATGGGGATCCGTGGTCTAATTTGTGGCAGTTTAGGGGTCCTTGATATTCTATTGTGAAGCTCATTTTGTTGTATTGAGCTGAAAATGACACATGCACTCAATGCAAAAAATACTGTCAGATTCAACCAATCTGACAGCAGAGGAAAACACAACCAAAATCAAACATTATTTTAAAATGTATTTATTTTGGAATTTAATGATTTTTTAAATTTGAAATGTGGGAGGAAACTGGAGCAACCAGAGAAAACCCATGCCAACACGGAGAGTATAGAAACTCCATACAGCAAAGATCAAGGCAGGGAATCCAACCCTGATCAATGCTGTGAAGCCACAGTGTTAAACACTGAGCTGCTGTGCGGCACTGAACGTTTCTCACAGCGGACATTTTGACTCAAGTGTAAATGGTAAATGATCTGTACTTGTATAGCGCCTTTCTAGTCTTTACAACCACTAAAAGCACTTTTACACTACATCACATTTACCCCATTCATACACTTAGGCATCTGCCATCAGAAACAGAACTGAACAGAACTGCTACTGTACATCAAAATGGCCGCTGCGAGAAAGGTCGGTTGACAGGTCAGTCCAGAGTGAGACAGGTTTAAGCTACTGGACCACCACATGTAATGCACCACATGAAGGTGGTGCTTGCAGCTTTTCCCACGGCTGAAAAGAACCTGGCAACTGCGGACATCTTTGGGGGTGAATTGAGGAGGGCATTTATATGGATTTTCAGATACTTCACAACAGCATCATCAAAAGATGTATTGTTTGATGCCATTGCAGCCTCCAGTATCTTTTTTGGAGAGCCAAACTCCCGGTCAAGGTCTTTAATCACGGCTTTGTTGACTTTTGTCATGCAGTTCTTGGTTTTTCCAACAACAGGGCCAGTGATTTTGATCTCATCCGCTACGTTGTCGGACAGACGCTTGATGATGGCGTTGATGTCTGCCACCTGCATGGACCTTTTGGTTTTCAAAGGGGCCTTTGTGACAAGCCTCATGAGCAGGGCAGTGATGAGTTTGCTGGTCATCCGTTCTGATGCGGAAGAAGAGGAATCATTTAACACTGCGGACATATCCCCACCTTCTGAGTGTGACACCTGACTATCGTTAGGCACTGGTGTACAGGAGGAAGTGATTGCTCTGGGTTTAGAGGTTCCTTCTTCAGGAGCTCCTGAAGTCATCTCAACATTGCATTTGAGCAATTGCTGACTTTCAACATGAACCCTGACATTCAAGTTCTCACTATCAAAATCATGGCAGACGGATGCAGATACTTCATCATCATTAATAGATGATACTCTTGAAGTCTGCCTGTTGCTGGCTTCAGGGCACTCCAACCTGATAATGGCATTTTCTGGTGGTGTGGTCAGCACTGTTGTGATTAGGTCTTTGATGTCAGTTAATGCACCTGCCACTTCCTCGCTGTGGCTTTCTTTGTTTGATGGCTCCATCTCCATCCAGAGCAGCACCTGCTGCAAGAACTTTTTCACTGCGTCCTCTGTGATGGCATATGCATTTGTCCTGACAGAGGCAGAGGTACTTCTCACGCATGGGACCGTGGGAATCTTATATGTGTGGCCAGCCATCAGATTACTGTATATTTTATCAGTCAGCTCCTTTGAAAACTTCCTGATCACGCCACTGGATGCGATGTCTTCCAGTGTTTTGTTGGATTGTGCTGCAGCTTTCTCTGGCAGGTTGAATTCATTAAACAAGCTGTCAACATCATTTTTGATGGTCTCAAAATTTAGTTGAGAAAACTGCTGCTCTCTCATGCTGATCAATGTCGAGTTGCTGGTTGGATCACTAGATGCACGTCTGGGCCTTGGAGAATAAGGAACAGTTCCTGGTAAAATGCCATCAATAGCTTCGTCAAAGACATCCTCTTCCATGGATTTAGGCTGATAGGACATAGAATCTGGGTTGAGTCTCCCAAGGAAGTCCGTCTTCAGCTCGGTCATCATTTTGTCAAACTGCTTTTGAGTAAACTTGAAAAAGCTGCGTTTGTGAACTGCTTGGTAGGTATCTTCTGAAGGTGCGGCCTGTGAGACAAGAAAGTCTCTCACCTTATGAAATATTAACCCCATATTAAAATCAGGTCTTGGTGAGCATCTTTTGTCACCGCTGCTTGCTATATCTCTCAAGTCACGAGACTGCAGGTCATCAATTATAGTTTTGACAATTTCAGATGCTACATTATGAGCTTCCAGCAAGGTGCTGCGAGGCAGGACAGCATTTTCAGGCTCTTCTGTAATGTCTGGTGTCTTACTTGACCATTTGACAAGGATGTCAGTCACAGCTTCAATCACTGAGGGGATGGAGATCTCGGATTTTAAGCCCTGAGGCAGTTCATCTCTCTCAGGTTCCTCTATTTCCAGGATCTGTTCTGGAGATTCAGAGCTTTTGTGTGGAGCATACTCTGTGTGGTTTGTCTGCCAACACATTCCCGAGCACGCAGAATTCAGCTTGCCCAAATATTTTTTCAGGCATTTGGTCGCATGTAACACCATCTGACAAAGAGGTGATGTGTTGGAGATGAAGCTAGGGACAAAAAGGTCAAGCTCTGATGGCGGGACACTGCTGCTGAAGACCCAAGATACAACAGAGCGTACCTTCTGTGAAACTTCTTCCTTAATTAGAGTCGTCAACTTTTCTGCACTCTCACATTTGAGCGGTGGGGCTTGAAAAGCACTGGCAATGCTAGCAGGGAGGGAGTCTCCGAGTTGAGCATTGAAGTTCTCCAAAACTGTACTCACAGCAGCCTGAGATGCACTCCTGTGCACGTGCTCCTGAAACACTGGCATGGTCTTTCTCAGGATGGCTATAGACAGTGTCTGTATGATTTCAACAAACATATCAGCCAGTGTAGCTTGTGTGTCTGGGTCCAAAGTCCCTGCAACTAACATGTTCCACTGTGCTGCAGAGATTCTTTCAAAATGATTTGTTACGATGGGCAGAAGAGCCTCTGGCGTGATAGTTTTGTCCATCTGGAATCCGGTTTGCTCAATTTTGGTATGTTCTGTTCACAAAGCTCTACTTTTCTTCCGTTTGTTTGAAACTTACTGTAAAGTGTTTAGTAATGCGTAGAACAAGTTATTGTCTGGAAATTGTATCTTGCTTAATGTTTTCAGTAATGTGTACCTCGCTATGGTTTCTGACTGTGGTCTGGAAGTCACTTGTCAAGAATGAAAACTGAATGTAGAATTTAGTAACCAGCACACCTTATATAGTCAGGACTGTATGACATCACGTGTTTTGATTCACATTAAAGCACAGCGTCACACATCAAAGGAATTTGAATTTAAACACAAACTCGCTGGCCGACACACGTGGGCTATATAATCACAGCAATTTTTTTTTATTGACTTTATTGAGAAGGGCAACATATAGCCTACATCCAACATATAAAGACATCCAACATTTCATTGTCCGAGGGTACAAAAATGATTTAACATTCATTAAGATCACAGCAATTAATCATTCAGAACCAGCGCCGATCGCGTCATAGGCAATGGAATTGGAACACAGACGTGCAGCAGGCGTCTGCACACACAGCAATCAATCTATCATGCATGAACCAGCCAATTAGCTGCAGGATTTTATATTTCGTTGCAAATGTGTGGAAATGAATTCTCATGAATCAAAAAATGTTCTCTTGCAATCACCGATTGTCATATGCCAAAATCAATAAAGTGTGAATTAAGGGATTTTTTTGTCTGGTCAATAAATTATGCCTCTCCACTGCCTAAGGTTATAATGGTTACAGTATCATAATAATTTTGTTGAAGATACACAATTAAACAGGCAACCAATGCTGTCACATCAGCATCAAATTCATTAATGGATTAAATACTTTAAAATGCGCCTTTTTTGCAGTCTGGGCCACCTGTGAGCACGACTTTACCGGTTCATGATTTCGGTAGAAACAAGTCTATGTCCAGTTTAATTAAACTTATATAATTAAATGATGAGTGCTCCTGACAGTAGGGGGGAAGGTTCAAACTATTAATGCAAGAAAAGGAGGAGCCTATTCTGTTGACTTGCATTCAGGAGCAGGTCACTTATTGTAAATAATGAATGCTCATTGCCAATAGTTTGCAACTTGTTAAGTAATAAGGTCATTTCATTTTATTTTATTTGAACGTGTTTTGGTCTGCTGTACCTTTTATTGTACAGGAATTTATTTTAATAATGTACAGAAGATTAAAGTTTTCTAGTTGTCTGTATGTGTCTGTTTTAAAATAATTATTTTACTGATATTTATTATGCTATAAGGGCATTTAGCAAGGTATTTTTAATGCATTAATAATGAATTATTGTCATACTGAATGGTTTCATAAAGCAGCTTCGTAGTATTAATAGTGGCTCTTGGAGTATACTAGTAATAAATTACTAATAAGCTGAAATGCTAATAATAATGTTTAAAAGCTATTTAAACTGTTGTTCAAGTATAGCACAAAAGGGTATTTTAAGTTAAATTTAAAGCAGTGTATTTAAACTAGAGTAAATATATTTAAATTTGGTCCATTTTAACACAACTAAATATATTGCAATTATCTTAAAGTTGAGTTTAAGGATTTCTAAAAGAACACTCAGTATAATACACTTAAAATGTGATAAGCGCATCAAGAAAAAGTACAACTTAAGTATATTTCTTTTTCACCTGGGTTGGCATAGTAGCATGCTAAAATGTGATAATTCGCACTAAACTGAAAGTACAGCTGAGACTGATGGGAATGTCATTAATTTTGCAGGTATTTTGTCTTAAAACAAACATTGATATATTTGTAATAAGTAAAGCAATAAGTAACGTTTGAACATTTTAACATGATGATGGCGCTACATGAAAAGTCTGTCAAGTAGTTGGTGAGACATTTCACTAAAAAACATCAATGTCAACCTCATGGTGGCGCTGGAGGAAAAGTCAGGAGATCACCAAAGTCAGCATAGCTGGATTCTTGTCGTCTTGTCACATGATCAAATAGAAATTTAAGATTGGGAAACAACATAAGTTACACATATAACCCAGCAATCATCATTGCATATGTAGTCTGTGTGACACGAATACAGACAAAAATAAGACAATATTTATTATGTGGAATTTGAGTAATATAGTTTTTTTATACTTTGCATGTTTAAGACTTTTTTTGAAAAAACCACAGCCTGTCACCATGGAAAAGGTGGATGTGCACATTTGAGGGTGTACATTTGAGACACAACAAAAAGAGATCTAAGATAAGATGGGAATCTAGAGTGCAACTGGTGATGTCAGACTCGCTTCACGGGCCCCTCTATAGCCCCAGTGTGGTTGCACTGTCTATACCTATGCCCTTACTGCTAGCGGTGTTAGAGGAAAAATCACAGGATTACCAAAGTTAGTTAGTTATCAGTGATTTAGCAATTTTTGGCTCCTTAACAATACACTCAACAATCTAAAACAGAACTGCATGGTTTGCAAATGCTTAGCTGTAATGTGAGGTTTTTGCAAGTGGAAACCTCTGTGTCTGAAAAGTGAAGCCAATGAAGAAGTGCTTTAAACCAACATTCAAAATGGTAGTCTACAAACCAATCTGTGATTTCTTTGGGTAAGCTATATGTTATTCGTCAATGGGCTAAAGCATCCTAATTCAATGTTATGGTCCTTTAAAGGGGTATGAGTGTAGCCGGCAGCCAAAAACCTAGATAACAGGATTAAATGGTGAGAATCAGCCAGCTGTGTTGTACTCACTCTGCTCTCCTGGGTCACACACATTAAACACTTCACACACCACTGGTCAACTACAAATGGCTCACAGGTTAATAACTAATGCTTAGAAGTAGCTACAACTTCAGTCTGTGTAAGTGAAAGCTGACGAGGAAAGCTACCTTCTGTTGGTGTTAACTGAAAAATGGCAGGTAGGTAAACTGCATTAGAACAAATGCCTGCTATAAATTTTTGGTCTTATTTTCCTTGTTAATGTGTTTGTTTTTCCAGACCAGGTGATACTGTTGCCTATTGGTCTGTCTGTGGGTCTCTTATTGCTGCTGCTGCTGGGTCTCTTAGTGTACTATCTATGGAGGAAGAATAAGGGGCAGAGTCAGTATGAGGAGCTGCTCTCTACTGTGCCTTCAGTACCACCATGCTCTGCTCCAGTGATCCTGGTGTCTCAGAGCCCCTGGGCCACGTGAGTACCACCAAAAACCTTTCTCATAAAACATACACAAATTCCTATATAGTGCTTTTCTCTAACTCTTTCTTTCGAAGAAGGTTTATTTTTTGAGTGTGCACTTGGAACAGTACAAATAAACATTTACAACAAGTTATATTTTTCCTGTTAACCCTCGACATACATTATATATTTGTTTTCGCTTTTCTTATTAGATAGTGTACAGTAGAGAGAGGGGGTTGTGTGACATGCAACAAAGGTCCCAGCTGGATTCAAACAGGGGACATCACAAACACATGGTCTGCATCTTAAACCCCTAAAACCAGCAAGACACGTTGAGTGGCACACATCTTTCAAGAGTTTAATTCGTAGGTTGCCAAAATCATTACTGCTTCACTGAAGAACAGCATCCATCACTTGGAAGCATCAGGGTTTATGGCTTCTGTAGTCTTGATTTTAAGAGTAGTATCACAGTTCAATTAGTTGATATTTGAAATGCTGCAGAAGGCACAATTAATAACATTTTCCCTCTGTGTGAAAGACCCAGTGAGATCCCTTTCACCTTGCCTCCTCGCTTCATAACACAAAACCATGGTGACCTGGAAAATGAGGAGATGAAGATGGAGGCCCGGAGGGACATACTAGCCCATCGTGGGTCACTCTCAGTAAGCAGTAGGTCATTGGCCTTTATTTGACAGCATATCAAGATGATTATAGTCCCTTTGAATTTGTAAAGTGAAATTCAGTTATTTGAATCTGAAATTGAAGGATAGGTCCCTAGCAAAAACTATAATTCTATCCGTAATAAAACAGTGTCAGAATGTATGACTATTTTGGTCATGGGTTTCATATATCTTATGTAATAAAACATCTAAAAGCCTAAAAATTATGGGGATCCATCCAACAGATGGGGGTCCATGGTATAATAATCAGTTTAGGTGCCCTTTACATGAAAAAGATTGAGAATCACAGATTTAGAGAGGTCGCTGATTTTTGTACAAGATGTTTCAGGTTCTGCCAGAGTGATATGCTCTGCCTACAAACATGCAGCAGCTCTGTGAGGCTGTATTTAAGAACAGTGGTACTTTCAGCTAAATGCTAACATCGGCATGCTAACATGGCAACTGCTAACAATGTTAGCAGTTGACGTTGATCATGTTCATCATCTTAGTTTAGCATGTTAGCCTTTACATTTTCCGTATCATAACACTAGGACTAACTAGAGACCTGTTAGCTTTAGCCTCAGTCTCTTAATACAATATCATGCATATTTACATTTTACAGGGTTCTTGTTTTAAAACGAGTCAGCTGAAAATAATAAAAAGTCAGTCTGAGAGCATTTTTAACCAACTCATGGAGCTAAAGTTTTGGAGAGCGCATCTAAGTTCCCTGTATCCTTACCTCCTAACCCGAACCCTGGAACTGGGAAGCATAGGAATGATCCCACATTTAGCTTCATTAGCTTAGCTGTCATTTTGGGGTTATTCCTATGTTCCCTAGTTCTAGGGTTAGGGGGTCAGGGGAGGACCCTTGGAACATACTGTAGATAGGCTCCCGTCTTTTCATCTGGAGAGATTTGAGAAGTCTGCTTTCTTTGACATTATTGACATCCATTTCAAAAATGACCATGTGTTAAACCTACCACGTTATTGTAAACAACAGTATCATGCCCTTGTGGCACTAGAGGAAAAGTCAGAGGTTCAACCAAAGTCATTAGGATTCATCCCCTGGGCACCATGAATATCTGTATAAATATTTACACTAAAAGTCATCCAATAAGTAAAATTTGCATCTAGAATCAAAGGTAAATCCCACAAACGTCCTAGCAAATCCTTACATACACTCACAACTTGTCTCCACCAGCATGGTACCCAGTGGGGACGGTATTGGCCGGCCTCTACTCTGTTCCTCCTCTGAACGAGGTGGTGCCCCCCCCCCCTGGCATGGCCACCCGTCTCTGCTTCTCTGTGGAGTATCGACACAGCAGCGAGCAGCTCATGGTCTCCTTGCTCCGCCTCGGCAACCTCCCTCCCCGTTTCCACGGCAACGTCACGCTGGTGGAGCTGCGGCTACTCCCTGACGACCGGAGGCCCCGCCAGGCCAAGGCACGGGGCACGGGGCCCGACCCGGAGTTCAACGACTGCTTGGTTTTCCAGGCGAGGACAGAAACATTTACAGAAGTTTTAAAATCTGATCCAAAACCTTAGAGACAAAAGAACAGATGACTTGTGAATGTGGTCTCACACACTTCCTGTATGTTTCCGCCACAGGTGTCAGGAGCGTGCGTGCCTCAGAGCACCCTGACTGTGTGTGTGCTGAGTGTGGAGCAAGATGGTAAACGCCACGTGGTGGGCAGGATTCTGTTTCCTCTGGAGGGGGAGCTCGGTCAGGCTGGCAGGGTGCTCTGGAGGGACCTGGAGACGGAGGATGACACACAGGTACACACAGACACACAAACGACGTTTGCATATGCACAAAATCGCTCATGGACGCTAAACATTTTGTTATCTCTTATCTCTCAGTGTTCAGAGCTGGGTGATATGCAGATATCTCTCAGCTACAGTCCAACTCTGCAACGCCTCTCTGTGGTGGTTCTGAGGGCTCGAGGCCTACAGCTGCTCTCAGACACAGGTATGAGGTCTTTCAGGTTCATGGAAAAGCTTGTGGATATGTGGAAGTCTGACCTAAATCAGTGGAGTAACCTTGTAAGTGTTGGTAATACATCATCTGTGCGTTTCCCAGGTGTGTGTGTCAAGGTGAGCTTACAGATACACACTCAGGTGGTGAAGATCAAGCGCAGCTGTGTGTTGAAATGTGACAGTGACCCCCATTTCAACCACAGGATAACCTTTAAACTCCGCTCGCAGCACTTGGACGAGGCCTGCCTGAGATTCGAGCTTCAGCAGCCAAACAGTGTCTGCTCAGGTGAAAGGGTCAACTTGATGTGCATAATATCTTATTTCAGTTTTAATTCCAGTGTGCTGGAATATTCTGAGGCAAAATCAACAAATCCCACTTAATTTGACTTAACTGTTGCCTTCTTTCCTTACACCTTGTCCTTTCACTGTAATCACCTGACATCTAATGACTGCTAAGTGATATGGAGCTCCTTCAAAGACCTATCTATCTATCTATCTATCTATCTATCTATCTATCTATCTATCTATCGAAGATCTGACCTAAAGATGTATTAGATCAGATCCTAGGATAATTTGTGCTTTAAGACAGGTGCACAGAAAAGGTCAACCACTTAATTCCACAGTATGCATGTTAAACTCAGAGACACTGCTAGTCAATTGTAAACTAAAAAATATATAATATATCCTTCATTTATTTAAAGTTGATTTATATGAACTTTTATTACTTGAGTTATCAACAAATATCCCAAAATTGAGTGGAGTGCTCAAAAACCTTTGATGGTTTAAACTGAGTCTGCCTTTTGGTCACTAGTTTGCTTATAAAGTTAAGAGACTCCAGGAACAATCTTGATGAATGAATGAATGAAGAAAACAATGTACAATTAAAAATTAGATGACAGAAATACTTTTTATATCCAGCTATTCTGTTTTTGTAATATTTCCCAATTAGCCACTTTTGTGCTGTATCTGTAATTGCTATAAGCTAATTGACAGGTTTCCACGTGTTAAAATAGCACTTTGGACATCTTTCTAGACATAATGCTGGAAATAACTGTGCAAAGTACTTGTGTGTGGTAGTTTTTATCAACAAAATACTTTCTCTCCGATTACTTCTCTTGTCTTTATTTTTGACCTTTTACTCTGTTTCAGTCAAACTTTGTTTGTCTTTCAGGAAAGGGCATCTGTTTTTATTTTGGACATTTTCACAACACCAGGGCTTAGAAGCCTGAGCAGTGAGATTTAACAAATCATTTAAAACAATGCACAATGGAAAAGCCAAAGGTTAGGGCACGTCAAAAGGTGAAGAGCACGTCAATATTCTTTTTTCAGCTCCAGAGATAAGATCAACTGTGTCTTTATTTTTCTCCCAGAGCCTCCAGCCCTGCTCGGAGTGCTGGTGTTGGGTCCCTTCATGTACGCCAGGGGCCTGCAGCTGCAGCACTGGATGGACATGGTCAACACACCACAGGAGCCGGTCGAGCTGTGGCATGGACTGGGCAGGGCCACGTAAACACCCCAAAACAATCATTTGCAAAAAGCCATGTCCAATAAAGGGAACTGAATAAAGAATTTGGGGATTTTACAAAAAAAATTACAACCACCTGACTGAGCTTTGAATTTATCCTTTTAATATATAAATGAAATCAAATCTGGTAACATTCTTTGACAGTTTAGTTACAAGAAAACAAATGCATACAGTAAAAAGCATGGTACCCTCTACATCTTTTGGAGTTGGGACTAAGTTAAGCTGAACCACCCTTTTTTACAGTGTAGTCTTTATTTTACTTTTATCTTTTATTTTGATATGTGTTTTGTTTTGTTTGTATGTGTGTCTATATATCTACATCTAAACCGGTTTCAATAAAGATTTTTTTATAGAACAAATCTGACTTCACCAGCGCTTCAGCACTTCCTGATGCTTTCCAGCAGGTGGCGACTTACGCCTTTATGTCAGTGAGTGCAGCTGCAGTTTGAACCAACGAGTGTTAAGGAGGAAGTGAATGAGGAGTTGGCATCAGATAAACATGAAGGTGTGTTGAAGTTATTATCGCTGATATTGGTGGTTAACATCTGTTTTTGACATCATGAAGATAAATGAGAACACTTTACTGGAGGGACACAAAGTCGTGCTGGTTCCTTACAATGCAGACCACGTGCCCAGGTAATACCAGCAGTCATACAGTAACCTAGATCAGACCCACGTGAAGGTACTGACACTGCTGTGTCATTTAAACCGATTGGCCCCCAGGACAAATATAGAAATAGCTGAATAGTAATTTATTATTGTTATTAATTCATTCATTATATTTAGCAGCTTGAGCTTTCATCACACAATCTTCATCAGCAGCTGGAGTTTGCTCAGTTGTCCTGTAGATGTAATAACACTTCAAAAATCTGCTTGTCCATTATGGATTAAAAATTGTGATTTGATCCTAGAATGAACTTTTTAACTTTCTCATTCTTACAATACAGTTTAAAAGTTGTAAAATTATCCTTTAAATCAGGAAGTAAACAACAAGAAGAATCTGACGGAGCATTCAGTGATACATTTTTATGCTCTCACAGTTTTTTAGACTCTTTCACTAGAACACATTTAAGTCAGTACATGAACGTAACCGGCCCTACATTTGAGGAGTATAACCAGAGTGTCTTGTGACGTGGACCTTGTACTAAATATCAGCTCTGTACAAAGATTGAAACATTTTTATTTTCAATCTTTAGACTCTTTATATCTAAATAGTTTATAAATATAAACATAGATATTTTCCTTTGTTTCTCTTTAACTGGCAGATAAGAAGCTGTGAATCAGAAACTCCTTTCCTTGTCTTTTATCCACCTGTTTCAGGTATCACGAGTGGATGAAGTCTCCTGAGCTGCAGCAGCTGACCGCTTCAGAGCCGCTGACCCTGGAACAGGAGTACGACATGCAGAGGAGCTGGAGGGAAGATCATGACAGTAAGGGGTCATCTGCCTGCAACCTGCACACAAAAATAACACCATCACACCATATCAATGGTCTACAGAGCTCCTCTGCTATCTGGTAATCATTGGGTATGATGTGAAAATAAGATATCGCACCATCCTGAGGTCATGCGAGATGTAATATATTGCAACCTTTACTTAAAGAAAAACTGTGTTACTATAATTTTTTAAATTCTACTTTTCCAGAGTGCACGTTCATCATCTTGGACAAGCAGCAGTGGGCAGACACCAGCGTCGAAGAAGAGCAGTGCATGGTGGGAGACGTCAACATCTTCCTGACTGACCCCACAGAGCCATCCTTGGCTGAGCTGGAGATCATGATTGCAGGTGACACCCAACGTGTTTGTCTTAAAAATTATTAAAAAGCAAAGGCATATCAAACATCTACAGTCAACCTGTGCTTTAGGTTTATATGTTTACATTTCCTGCATATATCACTCTGTTTCTAAACTGTTTTGCTGCAGTTGTTTTTTTCATAACTGTCTTGGTTTTAACAGAGCCCAGTTACAGAGGCAAGGGCATTGGGAAAGAGGTGACACGCATGATGATGTGCTACGGTGAGCATCTTATAAAATCTGTCGGAAGATTTCTAAAGCCTTGTTAACCGGTCAACAAGTGACCAAACATGTGTTGGTTCTTACAGTAGAGAGACAGAAGGGTAAAGCCACTGTGTAGTATTTGAACATTTCTGACTTTGGTTACCTCTTAATTCTGTGCCAATGTTCTACTTTTGAAAGGAAAATAAGGCCATTATTTGTTTTAAATGTCGTATCACATATGGCAGAGAGCTGCTGCTACAATACCCTGTAATTCATAAAACATGTTTCACTTAAGACTACAGCCACCACTATGGAGTAAACTCTGGTTACAATTTGTGAATAGTAGTTTGTGGACGGTGGTGATCAGTTTGTTGTCCTCCATCAGGTGTCACCAAACTTGGGGTGAAAAAGTTCCAAGTGAAAATTGGGTTGGACAACCAGGTCAGCATCTCCATGTTCAAGAAACTGCATTTCCAAGAGGTGATAATATATATATACAAAATAAAACATAATCCTATTGTGTGCCTGATGGGGCCCAAAATATGGTTTAGGCGTTTTGTAAGTGAATCTAAACATCATCCTCGTTTCTGTTGCAGGTGTCGGTGTGTAAGGTGTTCAAAGAGGTGACCCTCGAGATGACTGTGGACGAGGCTGTTCGGACAAGGCTGCTGGACGAGACGGCGGACATGAAGGAGAGAGACTACAGACTGACCTGCAGCAAAAGACAGGAACTGGTTTAACAGTGAACTGCCGTGCTGAGCTGCACTCACACGTAGTTAAAGACTTCCAGCTGTGAAGGAGACCATTCTGCACACAAATGAGGGAAATCTGAGACGCCAAGCTGAAAACTAATGTGTGGTTTCACTTTCACACCTTCACAGCATTGGACTGCTATCTGTAATACCAGAGTAATTGTGCATTTTATACCTACAGAGGTGCAGTTTTGATGATCTGGTTCTGTGCATAAATATTTTAATCTTAAAATATACAGTATTCTACTTCAACAGCTACATTTCAGAGGCAAATGTTGTACCTTTAATGTTAATATATGCATCTGACAGGTGGAGTTACTAGTTACACTGCATGCGTATGTGTATACCTGATCATCACAACTCCAAGTCACTCCGAAACCATGGGCATTACTCTGCTACTATAACAGCCTTCTCTCTTCTTTGAAGGCTTTCTGCAAGATGTTGGAACCTGGCTGCAGGAACCTGTTCCCATTCAGCCACAAGAGTATTAATGTGGTTGGTCACTGATGTTTGGTGATAATGCCCGGCTCACAGTCAGCGCTCAGGTGCATCCGGAAGGTGTAGGATGGGGTCAGGGCTCTGTGCAAGCCGGTTACTGTTGAAACAGGATCTTTCCCAAACTGTTGCCACGAAAGTGGAAGCGCACTGATGTCTAAAATATAATTTTATGCCGTACCATTGAGACTTGCCTTAACTGAAAGGGACCCAACTAAACTAAAAAAACAACCATCCATATATTTCTGGCCATATAGTGTATTTTTATTGGACAGTAACACATGCATAAAAATACCATCACCATGACAATATACATTTACCAGAACTGTAACATGATAACATGAGAAAGTTACAAACTTATTTCTATTGTGGTCCTCGTTGTAGTCTGACAAAGATGGCAAGGTAAGCCACGGATGACTAAAGGTATCCTGTACACTCAACCCTTACAAAATACAACCAAAAGACCGAACACATCCTAATACAAATAATAATTAATACATGTACATACAATTAAAATACACTGTAAGACTTAATAAAATCTTAGTCTAATTAGTAATAGTATATCTGTATATTGCAGATCCACATTTTAAACTTGCATAACAACTGTGTGTTTCCTTCTTTCTTTCTGGTACTTTCTGGTGCCTCTTCTACTTCCTCCTTAAAAGTTCACAAGGTCCCATTAAATTGGCCTTTTCACCTCAGACAGTATTAATAGGGAATATATTAGATGTATCCTTGTATACATCTAAGAGGCCAAGTACCTGCACTATGTCCAGACAACTGCTTTTCTCTGAAGTATTTATAGTGGTCTTTCGTGCTGACAGACATGAGAAGACGGTGCGTTAAAGGCAAGACGATGAACGGTGGAAACAATCTGTGGTTTTTATATCTGGTATTTTCTGGAAATGGTTCATTCTTTTTTGGTTTGGCGAAAGGCAAGTTTGTGTCTCTTTAAATTTGATTAAATAAACTAATTCTGACTTTTTGTTTCATGTTCCTCCTAATTGCCACATTAGTCTGCTGCATTTATCATAATTTTCTCATTTAGGACCGGAAGGCTGGTGGTTAAAATTAAATGCCAAATGCAGGAGCTTTGTCATTTTGGGTCGTATTTCAGAAAATGACCCCAAATGTGAAATGGAGTCACATAATTCCACTTGTTTTATCCTCTAAAAGCTCAGTGTGCTATTTGCTCCTATTCCAACCAAGTAATTTGTGTTTTTGGGATCAACAGACATATTTATTTTGGGCATGTACTTTTGTTTTGCTAAGGTCCAGTTTTTTTACATTCTAGTTTAATAAACATCACTCAAAATGAGGCAGTGATATAATGTTTGTTCGCTGCTTTTGTCCAGACTAAAGTATCTCAACAACTATTGAGTGAATTCCATGTAATTTTGTGAAGACTTTTCACAGTGATCAGACACCATGAGATTGATATTTTTGTTTTTTAGTAAAGCGCCTTGACATCTATTAGATTGGACACTTTCCAGCGCCAGCATCGGGTCAAAATTGTAGTTTGTCCTGTACAGATATCTGCAAAAGTAATGACATTCCCTCATAGGCCTAAATTGGTGTTCGTGTTTAGTGCTTAGCAAATGCTAACAAGCTAATCTAACATGGTGAACATGATGAACATAATACCTGCAAATCAATAGTTACAGTTGCATTGACATTGTGAGCGTGCTGATGTTAGCACGCTCACAATGCTGTAGACTACCATTATTATAAAAGGAACGATAACCAAGCTCATTATTATTTGCTAGATTGATATACAGTAAATGTATTTCAGTTGAAGAACCTCTAACTTCATTATGTCCCCTCCACCTCTGACACAAAAACTTAGATATTGTCTATAATTTAAATTTCAGGGGATTTATATGTCTTAGTTCTCTAACCATTTAGAAGACACTTTTATAATGCAAAATCCTGAAAAATCTTTTTATCACTTCAGGAAAACATGAATCAGCTCTTACAGCAATTACCTACAAATCTGTTTATGACTTCATGTGTTGCGGTTACCCAGACATCAATGGGCCAGCTAGGAGGCTTAACATGTCATCACATTAACTTCCCTCCACTAGTGGACACATTATAAATACATATTAGACTAAGGTTTCATGAGGCTAATGGTGACTGTTGTTGCTGCCTTTCACAGACTGCCCTCTCTGTCATGTTAGTCTCTGTACTCATTCACATTAACGTCTGAGGTATTGACTTTGTAAGTCAAAGTGATGATCAGGAAATAGCTATCATCCAGCATGCAGTTAGATCTGTGTTTGTACTGTGAAGCTTAGCTTATATTCAGCTGTGTCATGGTTAGATTCTTAGTCTTGTTTGCTCATTTAATCAGATTTTTCCATATTTAAATAATATTGTCTACTTTCAGGATGCATTTAACTTAGAGAAAGATATTTTTTCTGATGTTCTCTCAAAATCAGGAGAATTTCCCAGTTGCTAAGTTGTATTCACCGCCACCTTCTTCTATTACAAAAACACAGACACAGTTCAAAAATGTCTTGCAGTGCATAGCCATTTATTGGTGCTGACAATGTTTGAGCATGGAGAAAGCTTTACAAGAACCACAGCAGCAAAGGCAGCTTTTTGCATGAAGACACCCTGACAAATGACAAGAAGATGCATTTCAGAAGTCACCAGTTAAAACTGAAAGAACAGTAAAATAATCTGCCAGTTGCCTTTTATTTCTATAGTTAACATAAGACATGACATGATTACAAGAAGAAAGGACCACTAGTTCAATATAACTTGATCCTTATTTATCAGATGATTTAGAGTTAAAAAGGACCATACCAATCGTTTTACAACTAATAAAACAAAAAAAAAACCATGTACACTTGTATTACAGCTAACGTTTTTGCTAATGTTTTCCTCCCTTCCATGCAGCCATTGCTTTCAATTGTCTGTGTAATCCATCCATAACAGTGAACATCAAGTCTGGATGTATTTGTGCTGAAGTTCCATTATTTGTGTGGTAATGACGTTTAAGTGGATATTAAGAGTCTGTATCTTGTTACAGTAAATTCACTTTAACACATATTCTTGCAGACTTGATGTGTACTGTGATGGCGAGCTTCAAGTTACTTTTCAGACTGTACGGAAATTAATGGAAACCAATAAGTGTAGGAAAGTAGGTCTAGCGTATAGCTAACACATGGAAAACTATCAGTATGGTCCTTTTAATACAGTTTAATACATTGGAGCCTGACTAATACAGGATTTTAGAGGCCAGAATAAATATCAATATTTGAGTTTATAAAAATCTGATGATGATTAATCGGCTGTTTTTTTTACTGAAAAGATTAGTCAATGATTCAGTTAGTTAATTGACTGAAAAATAAATCGGCAAATATATTCTTGTAAATGGATAATCATTACAGTACTGCACTGAGCTGGACAAACTACGTAATGACAACGCTGTTTCTAAATGACTTCAAACGTATCTTTGGCATTTCTTGTTAGTCGTTAGCCAGCAGACACACCTGATACCATTATATATGTGATAAGATAATGTGTGTGTGTGTGTGTGTGTGTGTGTGTTTGTATTTGCTGTGAGATTTAGCTGGTGACTGTAAGACTATAAAGAAAAGAGGAGGCCACAGATGAGCCAGTTCTGCATTTGCGCAGCCTTCACTGCACATGCTCAGACTGCCACATCTAACACTGGCTGATGCACGACTCTGACTGGCAGCAAACATGTGATTCGACACTCCAGTGCAGCACTGACATGGCCACTTGACATTTCACTTAACATCTCTCAAATACAACCCACGTTCCACACGATGCACAAGAACACAAACCAGCTCTGGGTGGTGGTCAAAGTGCAGAACACGGACGGCATTTAAGACGATGAGTTTTTTTAAAAACAGGCTGTACAAAGAAGGGTACAAGAGCGACAACAATTCCATAGGAATTTAAGATGATTTTAACACATCTGTCCACCCCCCTTTATCTATCTGTACAGACTCTTCACCTCCCAGCACCTCAAACAGGGTGAGGGGATGCAGGGTTGTCCATCTTAATGAGATTCATGATTTCAGCATATTAAAAAAAGCCAGGATTCACAGGTGGAAGTGGAAAACCTGCAGCTCTGGAAGTTGATGACAGCAGATGATAGTTTAGTTCTTAGACGCTTGCGTAGATTCAAGAAACTCTTTCGCTGCAGAGGACAGATTTTGCACCAGCTGTCTAACCACACCCTCCTGCTCTTTGGCCCAGGATAGGCTGTCGTCCACGGCGACATTGACCGGCACACACACGGCTTCCTTCCGCAGGTCGGTCAGCCGGCATGCAGCGGCGACTCCGGCCAATCCCAGTAGCAGCAGGAGGAGGAGCTTGAACATCAGGCCAACAAGAGAACGCCGAGGTTTAGGAGCCGATTCCACAACAAGCTTTTTATCTGTTGAGATGAAGCGAGAGAGGGTGACATTAGAACAAAAACAAACTCTTAAAAAACTATACCTGGGTTTTGATTCTAGGTTTAATTTTTTAACAACATGGCTCATGAAAGAGATGCTTTTTTAGCAAATGGTCAAATGTTGAATATCCCCCCAGAATGCATCGAAAAGCATCAGTCCTGATTTTGTTACGTTAACATTTCAACTACTACTCTACTTTAGTATTAAAAAACTACAGACTTGTATGTCTTTACTTTTATTTTGCATGTTTGTACATTTATTTATAATATTTTATTTCAGCAACCGCTGGTACTTAAGACTTTCGGTTCCAGTAATGTGCAAAATCTCTCATTTTGATACAGAGGCGCTGTTTTGTGGAATTCAAACTTATATCATTCATCATCTTTGTTTACTATTAAAAAAGAAACATCTTAAACATTGGTAACTTCCCAATAACAGTGTTGAATGTTGGTGACATGGAAGGAGAAATAACTGTACTAGTTTTGTACCCTTTTTATTTTTATTTAATGTAACAAATACATGCAATCCATGTTAATTTTACATGGAGCTTTTAGGAAAGGCCTTTTTGTATAAACTTCAAACTACCTATCTCCCCTGCACAGGCTTTTGTTTACTGTAAATTCATGTATATCTGAGGTTATTTAGGTAAAAGTGTGTTTGTATATTTTTGAATACGTGTGATCAGCTGTCATTGTTAAACTCAGCATTCATTCAGTCACAGCACGGCTGCTGCCTCAGTTCTTAGTGCCACAGCAATCTCTGGCCTCATGTTATCTAAAAATAGAGCACTGCTATCAGATTGGTTCTCTGTTTTGGCAGATACTCTGAGTCGAGGTATCAGGAGAGAAAACGTTAGATTAGTGCATCCCAAAACTGCACGACTACCATATTCATTTAACAAAACGAGCTGAAATCAACCTAAAATCTTACATGACTTAAACTATTGTTACCAAGGTTTGGTCGATGGCCAACACAATGCTTATAATCTGTAGGGCAAAAACTTTCTGCCTCACATAAATGAATAAGATTTTACTTTCAGGGCTGGTCGTCATTCCTCATAATCAGTGGAGCGATTAGAAAACTAGCTAATAACATCACTTTTCAGAGGCAGCTCCTCATAAACATGCTAACAACTTGTTAAAAATAAAACGTATACCACAAAAAATATAACTGTGGCGTGCTTGAGCTGTAATTGTAGCTGTACTGTAATATGTAGTACTCTGAAGTCAGCTGTAATTGGCTATCTGGAAGTTGGGGCGTGGTCACTGCAGAGGCGCATTGGACAAGTAAAGACGCTTTAATCCCACCTGCTGCCTGTCCATTCTTTTTCTTCTTCTCCTCATTCTTCTTCTTCTGTTGCTCCCGTGCAGCCACGGCCGCCATCTGAGCGTTATACTCTTTCCTCCTCTTCTCCTTCTCCTCCGCCTTCTCCCGTTTACGAGCCTCCTTCTCTCTGGCCTCCCGCTCCCTCTGCTTCACCTCCTTCTTCCTCTCCAGCTCTGGGTGAAGATGCAGTCAGACAGACGGATCACACAGACGGACCACTATC